TATAAAATCTCATCTCGAACCAGCACAGACAGTCACCTACATCGGAGCCCTCTTTGACTCCATGCAAGCCAGGGCTTTCATCCCCCTGGAACGAGTTATAAGGTTAAAGAAGTAAATTTGCCTCTTTCAATCTCAAATGTCCTTTGCAGCCCATCATGTTCAACACCACCTCAGGCTCATGGCGTCCACAACATCGGTAATCCAGCATGCCCGACTCAAAATATGGTCGCTCCAATTGTGGTACCTGCCACTATTCAACCCAGTGATAAATCACCCATCTATGAAATTGACTGTGACACCAGAGTTAGCCAGTCAATTCACTTGGTGGACTTCAATGTCAAACCTCCGTGCCGGATGACCATTCCTGTTCTTCCATCCGCCAGTGCAGGTAACCACCGACTCCAGCCCATCTGGCTGGGGAGCACATTGTCTTGATCTCAAAATTCATGGTCTATGTACAAGAACAATCACTTCACATCAACCATCTCGAGCTCTTAGTGATCATCAGAGCTTTCCATGCCTTTCTTCCAATCATTGAGGGTCGAGATGTGCAACTGGCAACAGACAATACAACTGCCTTATATTATGTAAACAAACAGGGAGGAACACATTCTTTAGCTCTATATCTAGCCATCGACCTGTGGGAATTGTGTTACCAACATCACATCTTCCCTATTGCAGTACATATTTTCACAGACAACAATTGCATAGCAGATCATCTCAGCCGTATGACATCGAGGACTCACGAGCATTCCCTCAAGGAGACCATTATCGATCAACTTGTCACCGTTGGAGAGTACCTACCATCGATGTCTTCGCTTCGAGTGCGAATGCCAAATGCGGTGTCTTGCTCTCGAGCCAGAGCAGACGAGAACTGCATCAGGGACACGTTCATGACGGATTCAAACAGGGAATTACTTCATCTATTCCCACCAATACCACTCATACAACGGACAATTATCCGCCTCCAACACTTTCAGTCGAATGCGATCCTCTTCGCTCCCTGGTGGCTGAGGCAACCGTGGATCACTCACCTCAGATCAATGTTGACGGACTTGTTTAGACTCTCTCCAGTTCCCAACCTAACTCAAAACAACGGGATGGTCTACTATCCAGACCTCCCATTGTTGAACTTGACAGCTTGGAGGAGACTCCTCCCTTGAAGCGCATCTTGTATCAAGCGCGAATACCATCAATTCAGCTTCTATACACAAATAAGCAGAAAGCCTTCCTTAATTATAGAGAAATAAATAACTTACCTGCAATATCTGTTTCCTTGAAGACACTACTTACCTTCTTACTCCAGCTCTTCGAATTTGGACTCTCTCCACTTTAAAAGTCCATATATCAGCCATTGTTGCCCATCAACCAAATAGCTTAATGCTCTCATGCGCCCACCATTCGAACCAATGGCCTCTTCAAATCTTAGGTTGCTTTCTCTAAAGACATGTTTTCTGGTGGCTATAACATGTGCAAAAAGAGCCAGTGAGCTTGCTGCTCTTCGTTCTGATCCACCCTTTATCCAGTTTCATCCAGACAAAGTGACTTTGTATTTTGATGTCTCTTTTCTGCCCAAGATTGTATCAGAATTTCATCTAAATCAACCAATTATATTACCATCGTTTTCCCCATCACCACCAATCACTCAAGAGCACATGCTCCACATGCTAGACGTAAGACACTCTCTTGCATTTTATATTGACAGAACTAAGGCTTTCAGGAAAACTAACAGACTTTTCATATATTTCCATGGACCTCACAAGGGAGGCCCAGCCTCATCACAATCCATTTCCAGATGGATAGTCCAAACTATTTCCCTGGCATATGAACTATCAGGCAAACCACCTCCTGATTATTTGAATGCACATTCCACTAGAGCGCTGTCAGCATCTACTGCTTCCCAGTGTGGAATCGAGATACCTAACATCTGTCGTGCTGCAACATGGTCTACCCCATCGACCTTTGTCAGGCACTACTACCTGGATGTGAGAGCACGCAGTGATACTGGATTTGGCAGAGCTGTTTTGGCCTCCTTCCTACCGTGATATCCCACCATCCATCCAGTAAGTGAAGCTTGCCAGTCACCCATTTGTGCGCATTCACAGAGGCCACGAAGAAGAAAAAGAGGTTACCTACCTGTAATCATAGTTCTAGTGGTCCTCTGTGAATTCACACATCCCATCCATGCTCCCCTCTGTATATCATGGTTTATATTAAATGATTCTTCTGCCCGGCGGACAAATTCTAGGAACTGAGGGGAATCTTGGGTGGGTGGAGCATGTGATCCACAGGGGAACATTTATTTATTTTATTTATTTATTTAACTTATATGCCGCCCACACTACCCGAAGGTCTCTGGGCGGCTTACAGCATTTAAAATACAATAAAAAGGCAAAATAAAAGGGCAAAATAATTAAAATGCAATTAAAATATATATTCTAAAAATTGCCATCAGACCCACATCCCACTAACTTTGTACTTTTAAGCTCTAGAATGTTCTGAGGCATTCAGCACAGGCGCAGAACAATCCATTTGTGTGAGTGAATTCACAAGAGGACCAGGAGAAGAACTATGGTTACAAGCAGGTAACCTCTTTGTATGGTTGGGAAAAATTAGGTGGAAAGGAGAATGGAATGGCCAAACAAAGGAGAGGAAGTACAGATAAAAATGGTAAACCAAAATATGTCACTTTCTTCATCAATCATTTAAAACTGCTGTTGTAAAATGTTTTCTTGAGTGTCAGTGAAAACAGTATATATCCATCAGCAGAGAAATCCACAATCTTAATGGAGCTGAGATTAGGCAGAAGTATGTCCATAGTGCATCTTTGAGGAGTGGACTGCACATGGATTTAAAACTTGGAGTGGCAAGAAGCCTAAGCAGAAGCAATCTATTATACAGTCTTTTTATGGAAGATTCCACTTGTTCTAATTAAATAAATATTAGATATTTTAAGTGATGTTTCACTACTATAATAAACTTCTGTCCTAAAGCTGATGCGGGAATCTCTGTTTAGTAATTTACATTTTTCCAGCAAAGCAAATCTTGGAAAAGTAACTTTTTTGGTCTAAGACCCTACAGCCGCTGCCTTGGCTGTCACATGCCGCCAACTGGGGCCCGTTGCCAGCCACCATCCGCCATGGCTCAGTTGCAGCCGGGGCGGGAAGGGGCAATCAGGCAGCTGGGGACCCCCCTCCTGGCAGAGGAGGAGGAGGAGGGAAGGATCACATCCTCATTACCCCCAGGATTTTCATTTTTACCCCATTTGGGGTAATTTACCCCTGTTCCCTGACCACTGCCTTACTCGTTAGTGTTCAGAAAAAGCGGTCTACTGTTATTTGTTAAGTGTCCTGAAAGTAACTTCATGCATTGATTGATTGATTGATTGATTGATTGATTGATTGATTGATTGATTGATTGATTGATTGATTGATTGATTGGACTTATATACCGCCCCATAGTGCTACAAGCACTCTCCGGGCGGTTTACAATTTTTTAATTATACAGGCTACATTATTCCTGTTTTAAAAGGTAATGGCTAGCCTTTTTAGTCCGTAGCAACAATTTGTAAGACTAACTAGTTTTTATTTTTCATGGGCTTTTTTGCATACTACTTCAAAACATAACTATTTCCAGTATAAATATTCCTATTTTGTTAACTTTAAAAAACCCATGAGATTGAGAAGGTAATGGGAATAAACTTGAAAAATTATTGTAAAAGCATCTAAAAATACCCTTTACCATTAAATAACCTAAAAAGTAAATACCTATTGAAAATGTTGCTTGTTATGAAATAGAATAATGCTATTATGAAGTTCAAGAAAGAATTACTGACAGTACTGCTCCCCAGTATGGACATAGTGTTGAAAATTCTGCTTTTACTAATAAAATCTTGTTTGTAACAGGAAGCATGATTACATTTTGAATTTCCATAAAAGGAATAGGTATTCCCCCCCCAAAAAAAAAAACATTGGGGGGGGGGACTGTGCACAAGACCAGTGTCATGAAATACATGTGTCAAAGAGAATTATAGAGGGTATAAGAATAGGTAGAGGAGAACTCTGCTACTCCCAGATTTAAAAAAATAATTAGCATTTTGAAGAGCCAAGGCAGGTAGCAGTCACCTACAAGGTGAGGTGTGAGAATGGAAAGATGTACAGTTGCAGAAAGCTGCAGAAAGCAAGAGATGGTAGTTTTCAGTTCAGCACCAGAGGATGGCAGCATTGCATTAATTTTGTAGCATGTTATGAATTGCAGAGTACTGGCAAGTATGACATTTGGATGTAAATAACCTGATTAGATGGCTATAAAGACCCAAGGGTTTGCTTTCAAGGCTTGAAAGTGAAGGGGACAAATTGTGCAAAACTGAATGTAGTTGGTTATTTTGTGCCTCTGCTCTTTCCACCATATTAGGAGTATAGAACCTGAGATGCTTTGGGGCACTGGTCTTAGTGTAACTTTTTGGGGAAACTTTTATTAAATTTAATTATGATTATATTAAATAAAGTTTCTTAGGAATGTAAAGCCAAATGAATATAACAATATATAAAGTGGTGTGTTGTTTTCCTGAATAAGGGATTATCATGTATATTGTAATTTCCCTTTTCAATATCTTCATGTTCAGAGAGGATAACTACAGAAGTGTGTTTTGTTGTGTAGATACATTTTCAGCCATTCCACGTATTGGTGCCATGCCTAAAAGCATAGTTAGCAAACTATTCCTTCTAATAATTACTGTGCACGTTCAGTAAGTTGTGCTTGTATTGCTTTCATTAGCTTCAACTGGAACATCTGAAATTGTATGCTGTAAAATATATGTATATACAAAATTGGCTTTGAGATTTATGCTGGTCTCCTAAAATTATGAGCATATTGCTATTAACATAGAATCCTATGTTGTTGCCTTCTTTATTATTAAAAAAAAACAAAATTTTTGTTGTGAATATTCATTTTTAACACCTCTGCATAATTATTTATTGTTTTTGCTTTTTTATTCACAGCATATAGCACTTTCTATATTGTGGGTTTAATATTATCCATGCAGATACCTTTTGTTGGATTTCAACCAATTAGAACAAGTGAGCACATGGCAGCAGCAGGTAAAGAAAATAGTTTCATATTGTGAAAAACACACACTCTGTAGGCATTTATACTTTTGTGTTTCTGAGTGCAGAGCATGATAACATGCACCAATGGTATATGCAAAAGATATCACATGTATAGCATCTGTGGTGTCATGGCATCTGCAGATACTCCCATAGTTACAACAAGGTCCCATACCCTTCTCAGTTTAAAAATTAAAACTCTAGCTTAGTTTGAGTTGTGCAACTGAGGATGTTTTATGTATTTGTGTGACAGCTGAATGCTGTATAAATCTCTATGTCTTTGGATGGGTGGGGTATGGGTGCATATACATTAGAGAAAAAGAAAAATAAGAATTTGGTAGTGATCCAGAGAGAGAGAGAGCACTCCAGAGAAAGATTGTTTATCTTGTTTTATGGCATGGAGCACATTCCCACAGAGCATGTAGTTCTTGTAGAAACACATTTGAAGGAATTCATTTTAGAAGTGATTTAGCCGCCTAGAGTGGTCGAAATGACTAGATAGGCGGGGTATAAATATAATAAATAAATAAAAATAAATAAATAAATAGAGAAATAATTAGCTTTCTCTTCCATGAAATAGTCTTTTGGAATGAAATCCCTGGATTCACAAAGTTACTCTATGTCTTGAGCTCAGATTTAACCCTGTATTCAAGTTCATTTGCTCATTGACTTTTACGGTAGTATGCTTGTCTGGGACATACATAGGTGTTTTGTGACTAATTGCATCCCTATGGCAGTTATTTTGCATGCATGACATCTTCCCAAAATTCCAAATGTTTCTTTCCATTCAAAAAAGGTTGAAGTTTAATATGTGTATTATCTTTTCTACCCACAATCAGCAGCCTGTTGATTGCAATTAATGTGAGCAGGTGAATAGAAGAGTTAAAACCAAAAAAGTTTGGAGCAAGCATTAAAAGTTTATTTGAAAGCCTTCAGTAACATTTTGTTTGAAAACGGGAGTGTTCTTTATTTTAACCAGGTGTTTTCGCACTGCTGCAAGCCTATGCCTTCTTGCAATATATGAGAGACAGATTAACAAAGCAAGAATTTCAAACCTTGTTCTTCTTGGGTATATCACTAGCTGCTGGAGTTGTATTTCTGAGTGTCATCTACTTAACATATACAGGTACAATATGTATATGTCTGTTGGCAGATAGGGGATTACTTAAAAATGGTTCAGGGGTTCTACAAGATGTAGTGAGACATCCAGGCAGTATGGTGGCTTAACATAGTAGGTGAGTGCTGCATAAGAAACCTCATGCAAAGCATTTTGTTTACACAGGCACTTATTGATGTACAGCTGTTGCTGGGATTTTGTGTTTGTGTTTTTTATTTTCGTTCATTGAAACCTTTCAATTTTTTTCTAAAACATTTGGGTTTGATTAATACTTTTAGAGTTTCTTGTTCTTGTTAATATTAGCAGTCTCACGACAATGAGACACTTCAATGAGGGGACTTGATGTACAAAATGTCTACTGATTCAGTGGGCTTATGCTGATGTAACTTAGAGGATTTCAGCTATTGCCTGTTTAATGTAACTGCCTCCACATAAGAGTCTCCTTTTAATATATTTTATATACATTTTTTAAAAGTTTAATAGAAATTTATAAAGTACTTTGACTGTTTTAAAATAATCTTTCACTTCTGTTTTCAGGTTACATTGCACCATGGAGTGGCAGGTTTTATTCACTGTGGGACACTGGGTAAGTAGGAACGTAAAAAGTTAAACCTTAAGGCTGTGCTGAGAATTGAAGACTTTGTTCTGCTGCAGGCATTAGACAAAGCCATAACTGAACAGATAAGAGGATGTGCAGGTATGAACATTTGATTGCTTGCTTGTATAAAGGGAATAAACTTAAAGGTTCTACTTGCCATTTGGAACAATCTAGAAAGCTTTAGATATAGTTGATTTAGTCAGTGGTTTAATATCCTCATTTCAGGATAGATAGTAGTTTTAACCACCCTACTTCCCAGGTTTTGGACTTAAAATCTGTGTCTGGTGTCAGTAATGGACTAGATGATAACAAACTGAATCTTAATCCAGACAAGACAGAGGTGCTCATGGTCAGTCAAAAAGCAGATCAAGGAATAGGGTTGCAGCCTGCACTGGGTGAGGTTACACTGCCTCTGAAAATGCAGGTATGCAGTTGGGAGTGCTTCTGGATTTGTCCCGGAGCCTGGATGCCCAGGGCTTAGGAGTGGCCAGGAGTGCCTTTGCACAGTTAAAATTAGCTCACCAGCTGTACCCATTCCTGGAGAGGTCTGATCTGACCACAGTGACACATGCCTTAGTTACATCTTGACTGGATTACTATAACATGCTCCAGACGGGGCTGCCTTTGGAAAGTGTTTGGAAACCCCAGAGGGTCCAAAATGCTGCAGCCAGATTCTAACTAGGACTGGTTACAGAGAACATATATCCCCCTATTAAAGCAACTCCACTGTCTGCTGATCTGTAAATAATAATTAAATAAATAAATAATAAAAGATAAATTATTGTTCCAGATGACAAACTAGAAACCTTTTCCTTTCACACTTGTATAGTTTGGAAAGCTAATCTCAGTTGCTCATCCTCATGAGGAAAACTAGCCTGCGACTTGTACCTGCTCATCCTCATAACGTTAAATCAGGGATTGGCAAATTGTGCCCCCCCTCCCCGGGATGTTGATAAAATCCAGGTCATATGAACTTAGAGATGGTGCAAGCTGGCATCCAATAATATATGTAAGACAATAGGTTACTCATCCTGTGCTAAACCATAGTTGAGTTTTAAATCTGAATTGGTGAACATCCATGTTCTATGAAGAAAATTTGAAAGAGCTGGATATTGAGGTGATTGGGATGCTGTGGCAATCATCTTTTGATATTCCTTTGAAGAGCTGTTACAAAGGGGGAAATCAGTTCTTTGTCATTGTCTCTATACATTCATGCTAATGGGTCTGCAAAGGGATATGGTGGCGCTGCGGGTTAAACCGCTGAAGCCTCTGTGCTGCAAGGTCAGAAGACCTGCAGTTGTAAGATCGAATCCACGCGACGGAGTGAGCCCCTGTCACTTGTCCTAGCTCCCGCCAACCTAGGGGTTCGAAAGCAAGCAAAATGCAAAAAATGGGAGTAGATAAATAAGTACCACCTCTGTGGGAAGGTAAACGGCGTTCCGTGTCTAGTCACGCTGGCCACGTGACCACAGAGGATTGTCTGCGGACAAACGCTAGCTCTATGGGTTGGAAATGGAGATGAGCGCCGCCGCCTAGAGTCAGACACAACTGGACAAATTGTCAAGGGGAACCTTTACCTTTTTAATGGGTCTACACCAGTATAGAGCCACTTCTTTTGAAACCTTCAGACTAAGAGCTCTGACCATGACTCCATTCCTTTTGCCTCTAGTATGAATTTACTTCAGTTCTTCATTCACCACAGTAGCCACACCAGAATAAAATCTCTGAAAGTTTCAAAAATAGATGTCTGTACAATCCTAATAGCTTTTATTTGTATTGTTTCATTAATTCTTGACTTTAGTATTGTTGCCAAAAAAGGTTGATTTTTTTTCTTCAGAGGAGGCCCACAAAATCTTCTATTATAAAATTTGTTTAGGCAAATCCCTCTCAGTGTGCCAACTCTCAGCTCTACATCTGAGCATGAGATACAAAAATGAAGTCAAGTGGCTGTTCTAACCCAGTGATACACATCCAGGCATGCTAGGAGCATCTGGCAGTGTTTTTAATAAGTTATGCCAGCTACAACACTTATCCTCACGGAATGATGCCATCATATTATTGTTTTTCCAGAAGGTCTACTGAGGGAGAGTGCTTTCAATGTGAGAACATATATCAGTACCACCCACAGTCTACACATTGTCCTGACAGTGTCACTTAGCTTCTTCTCGATACTACAAGTATTATTTCCCGTTCCATGACTATTACTAGCTTTCATGGAGTCCTTCCCATGTCCATAAAATGTGGAACAATACATGATGGGTACTAGTCTCTAACTATGGCACCAGTGCCATCATCAGTGTAACCATAACACCACCTCTGGTACTGCTCCTGCCAGCACTACTACCACCAACTACAATTGCCACCATAATGTCAATTACATTCTCAGTCTCCCTTGCCTTGGTACTGTCCACAGTATTCTTACACGTTCCAGTATCAACTATGGCTGAGACTGTTCATTGCACAAGTGGCTCAAAAGACTCCACTTAGACCAATGAACTTGTTTGCTTCTACATTGTTTCATGTTCATGGAGTAGGAACCTTAGACTAATGAACTTGTTTGCTTCTACATTTTTTCATGCTCATGGAGTAGGAACCTTAGCTGACGAACCTCAATCACTCCGCAAGGATCTGAAACTGAATTGAAGGACAGGTCAGCTCCTTCAATTTACAAGGAACATGACAGCAGTTACCATCACTGGATCTCTTAATTGCTCCAGATGATCCTCCTTCACATAGAACATGTTATAATAATTCAAATGCAGTGTAATTAACACATTTGTCACCATGACCAGATCAGACTTTTCAAGGAACTGGCATAGCTAATGCTCTAGTTTTAGTTGTTTAATTGCCCACTGGCACCACCAAGACCTGGGCATCAAGACTCAGGGATGAGTCTAGGAGCATGCCCAAGCTGCAAACCTTAGTTTGCAAGTAGTGTGTGTAACGTATCCAGAATGTTACAGATTCACTAGTCTGTCACAGAATGATAAACACAAAATAGCTGATGATCCAGTGGGAAATTGGATATAGACTACAGGCTAGCTGCTGCAGCTAGAAAAATGGGAGTCCTTCCATTTACCTCTAGTGTATCGGGGAAAGCTTTGTGAAAATGGCAACTAAACTGAAGTAAATAACAGGCTTACTGTCACTACTACCATGGTGGTAGTGCCCAGCAATCATCCTCAAAGCATGCTTCCGTTGCGTATCAACCAAAGCAGCCTTTTTTCTTGCTAGAAAGTGGAACTACAGAAGGAAATGGGGATGTCAGTAGTATCTACATTGTTGTCACCATGATTATAATTTACAATACTGTGAGTGTTTGATAGTCTCATGCTTCCTACATCAATACTAAACTTACTGTTTTTGATACTAGGCTCACTCAACATCTTTGAGCCTTGAACAACATAGCTACCAGTGAATGAGTACTTATAACACAGTGAGACTGTAACATAAGAGTGCAGGATGTGGTGCGTTGTCTCCAGTATTGTATCCAGGGGCATTGTATGATCAGAGAGGCTCAATATTTTATCAATTTTTGAAACTTGTAGCCATGTTCAAAGCTTGCAAAGATTTTTGTTCACTGCTTATTGATACCATCGTGCAGAATTGCCACTGACAATTTCACCATAGCGTAGTACATAAATAGACAGAGTGCAGTTTGTTTTTCCAGTTCATACCTGAGTGGGCCCTGATAGAAGAAGTGTAATTCCATCCAGACCAGGCAAGGAACGCCTTAGCAGGGCAGGATCTCCTCCCAACAGCAAGATCTTCATCTTGTCAGGATTTAGTTCAGTCAATTAACCCTCGTCCAGTCGATAACTGAGGACAGGCAGCATTCCAGGTTCCATACAGCTTCCCTCTGAAGATGTTAAGAAGAGATAGAGTTGGCTATCATCAGCATACTGATGGCAGCAGACTCCAGATCTCCAGATGAACTCCCCCAGTGACCTCATAGATGTTAAGCAGCATTCGATCTCAGAGGACCACTTACTTTGGAACAGCACTTTTCTTCACAGTGCTCCAGTAAGCATACATGTCTGTCCGCCTGCCTCTGCAACATTTTTGGAGAGCTCACTAGTTTTCACCCATTAGTATGAATGCATAGAGACCATGATGAAAAATACTCCTTCTTGTAATGTTTATTGTCTGAGTGGTCATTTGTGTGTTCACATGACTTGCTCTCCTCTCTTCAACACCTACAGTTGCTTTGTCATTCAGATGTATAAACTGAGGGAAGACCTGCTGGAGCATCCACTTTAGACAAGGGGCCATGATCAAAGCTTTTCGTCTAGAAGGTTCCGAAAGGGATAACTCTGTGCAGGTGTACACCCATTGCTGTGAATGTATAGATGCACAATAAAAATATAATGTTACAAGAGGCAACTCATTTATTTTTCTGATTCCAGAGAGTGGATCAAGTAGCAATAGGCTCAAATTAAAAAAGTAGAATTCAGCTAAATAATTGAAAGAATTTTCTGATGGCAGAAGTTAATATGATAGTCTGAAAAAGTTCATTAAAACATCTGTGATGGTCCATATTTTTTATATAAAAATACTGTTTAAAAGCTTGTTTTTTATATAAATTTGTTATATTCATTGTGCTTTTCAGTAGTTAAAAATATTGCAACAAGAAGCCTTCTACTAAAGCTTCAAAATGTTTACTGGTCCTCAGATGTAGTAAATTTAGTATTACATCACTTCAAAATAATTTGAACTGAATTTTTTTTAAACAAGGTATGCGAAAATTCACATCCCGATCATTGCTTCAGTGTCTGAACATCAGCCTACAACATGGGTTTCCTTCTTTTTTGATCTCCATATTCTCGTGTGTACTTTCCCAGCAGGGCTGTGGTTCTGTATCAAAAACATCAATGATGAAAGAGTCTTTGGTAAGTATTAACTATTAAAAATTAAACTGTTAAGATAAAAAATTCTGATGTCACAGTTATATAACTGTTACAGAATTTTGTCAGAGATCCTTTCTTGGGAGTTTAGGCAGCTAAATTATTAATTCTGGACATTAATTATAGCTATCCATTGCTGAAATGGTATCTGTTTTCAGTTGGCACATGCTTTCCCCAGTGTTGTATTTTGGACTGAACCTTAGTCCAATAAAAGAAAATAGTTTGACTCCAGATGTAATCATACTTAAAGCATATTGATTGAAATCAGTGATAAATTAATCATGACTAATTTTGATTTATTTTACTGTGTCTTCCATGATTATAACAAAAGTTGTACATAATCCAGTGATTTTAATTCCACAGCCTTCCAAATACGCTGTGGAACAATTGTTAGAATGGCACTAGTGATAACTTGCTCAATTCTTTCCCCTTCTAGCTGTATTCTACACCAGCTTTTGTAGTTCACAGTAACCTCAGAATATTGTTAAACTATTTTTTTATTTCTTACATTATTGTATTTGTTCAGTTGGATTGCTAATATGAGATGTCTTTTAAAGAGGTAACATTAATATAAATATGATTCTTCTTCGTGGTCTCTGTGAATGCACACTAATGGGTTTAATCTGCACTTGCACAGAGGTCTCCAAAATATTCTAGAGCTCAAACGTGTTCACTAGGACCACCCCCCAGTACACGTGGTCCACCTGTCCTGGCAATCACTTCAGTTCTTTTTTGCCGCCATTGAGTTCTCATGTTCTTCTGAGCTCTTCGTTTGCGCAAATTGGTTCTTTTTCCTGAGGAAGCATAATACATCGTATCATTCTTATTTAGAAATAGACTGTTCTGTAATACTATTTTTGTTACTCCTTTGTGATTTTTGGTCATTTTATCACTTTTTCCGTAATCTGCCCCCCTTCACCCTCCCTTCCCGCCTTTTATGGCCCCGACAGGGCTGTTTAAGAGGTGCACTTCATGTACTAATAAGTTGTCTGTTTCTGACGGCCACGATTTGTGTCTTTTTTTTTTGTTTGGGAGAATCGCACCAGCCAGCCTCCTGCTCCTATTGTAAAAACTTTACTAAATAAGCCATCAAGCTCCATCAACAATGCCTTAAATCTTTCTTGTGGGAGCAATCTCTTTGTCCACCATCCAGGATGGAGGAGACTCAGGCTTCACAACCACCACCGGTTTCTTCGGTTACCAATTCCCCGTTACAGACTCCTAAATCTAAGCCAAAATTGCCTAAGTCAAAGTCCTCCGGATCAACGTCACAATCGACCCCGACACCAAAAACTATTTTGAAACCGATGGGTACCAAACCAAAGAAATCTAAAAAGTCAACCGCTGGTACAGCATCCTTCCGTACAGGATCAGCCACGTATTGATCTGAATACTGACCGCAATCCATTCTGCCTCCATCCTCCCAACCGCCTTCTCCTTTGCTGGCTCAATCTCCATCCTGGGTGGACACCTTGGCTGAGGTGACTGTGCTGCCTTATTCAGCCTGTTCGAGCCCCAAGTCTTTGGGTTGCTGTGCGTCTGTGGGTGAGTCTGGATCTATATCTGTTCCTGTTGATCCAGTTCCTTTGCGGAAGAAGAAGGCTAAACTCTACCACATTGAGGACACCGGCCATTACGATACCGTTCTCTCACAGCCTGACATTTTCGGAACTGTCAGTATTGCGAGGCTCTTCGGCTCAACATCATCGGCCCAAACAAGTTACAGTTTGTGAGCCTCCTGTCTGCTATGAACCACCACCTAAACGATATCGACATCGTCCACACCGGTACTGGTAGCATGATACCGAACATTATGTCAAACCAAGCGATTTTGGTATGCATACTATTATCCTTTGGACTCTTTTGAGTCCCCCTCGCCTCCTCGATACCTTTTGAGCTATTACTACGACCAGTCATCAGACAATGAGAGTGTTTCTCCTGCTTCAGTACCAAAAGCTCCATAAGAAAACTCGCAAACGGCATGCTTCAGCTGCCCTGGCTCCATCGACTTCGATACCGAAGAAACCAAAGCTGTCGGCCAAGCCCTCTGTACCAGACTCTCTCAGTAGGCTGAATTCTCAAATGCACGAGTGGTCCCTCGATGACACCATTTTTCTCCAACTTTGCAACAACTGGGGCCATCCCGATAAAGACGTTTTTGCCACAGCCATCAATGCCAAATGCACCCAGTACCCTCCCTAAACACCATCCTCACCCATGCAAGGAAGCCAGCTACAAATCAACTTTATGCTTACAAATGATCTGCTTTCCAGAAGTTTGCTCGTCAGAATGATCCCCCGACGGCTCCGACTACCCTCCGAGCAGTGTTGGCCGTTCTTTCTTATCTTTTCGACTGCCATCTCACAGGTATTGAGCGATCCCTCCATCTCCTAGATGTGAGAAGGGACCTCGCCTTTTATGTCAAGAGAACTGCCTCTTGTCGTAAGTCTAACAGGCTATTTGTTTCACCTCATAGAGGGGCACAGGTGTCCCCCCAAACTACTGTATCTCATGATGGATTGTGCAGACTATGCTCCTCATCAACTTGCCCAAAAGCCTCTGCCTATTGATGTCAAGGCTCACTCCATGAGGGCAATGGCCACCTCCATGACTTTTCTTTGAGGCATACCTGTTCCAGATATTTGCAAGGCTGCTACTTGGTCAACTCAGTCGACATTTGCATCCCATTATCGTTTGGATGTAAGGGCCAAGTCAGATGCGGTTTTCGGTCGTGCAGTCTTGTCTTCGATTTTGCTGTGGTGTCCCTCTACCTGTATGGTAAGCTTGTTAATCACCCATTCACAGAGACCACGAAGAAGAAAGAGAGGTTGCTTACCTGTAACTCTGGTGCTTCGCGTGGTCATCTGTGAATTCACACTTCCCACCTGTCCTCCCCTCTGTCCGTCATGTCTGTCTCATTATTTCAGGCAGCGGTGGGCTTTTTGGGAACTGAGGTGATTGCCAGGACAGGCGGACCACGTGCACTGGGGGAGGGCATTCCTAGCGAATGCATGTTTGAACTCTAGAATATTCTGGAGACCTCTGCGTAAGCACACATTAAACCCATTATTGTGAATTCACAGATTATCACTCAAAGAACCAGAGTTACAGGTAAGTAACCTCTCTTTTTTATTGCATCCAGGCTTAGAACACACAGCTGGTGGAAACAGATTCCTTCTCCCTGTGGTAGCCATTTTAGTTTTCCAAGAATGCTACATAGAACGTTGGAGACACTTGCTGAATGAAGGGAGCTGCAGTATCAAATTCCCTGAAAACTGGGTAGAGGCATTTTCTGAGAGTGGAGCTTTTCCTTACAGAAAGTGTTCATGCCCAATCTTTGGGGCAACCCATCTCTGCACCATTGCTTACCTCACTCAGCAAGGTCCATTGGACATTGATTGTGTAGCATCTCTTGAGTCTGGAGAAGCAACTGCAGTGAGTGGACAGGAAAGTCTGATTCACTAGCCCAATTGTGTGCCCCCTTCCTCTTGTACTGTCTTCAAGCAGTGACCTTCCTTTTCAGACAGGGTTTAAGTTATAATTACGAGTCTCAGGAATGCTGTATTTATTGGATTTAGATGTTTTTAGAAAATGTTTTAAAAATTGTTTCTAATTGTTTTAATATCAATACATTTAATTGTTTCTAAGTATAGTTTTTAATGGTATTTAAAAATCTTTGATTATTCTATAGTATTAAATGTTGTGCGATACCGTGGGTCCCCTTTGGGGAGAAAGGTAGCATGTAATTAACAGACATACATTAAATATGGATTCATCCTATGGTAAAGTAAAATTACAAAAATCCATTTTATTGAATGTTACAAGTATAATTCAGAGTAGGTGCATCCTTAACGGGAAACATTTTGCAAAACAAATGTGCAAACTTATTGTACGATTATACAATATCTAATAGGAAAACAGTAGTCCTTGCCTTTTTAAGTACTTAATAACATTGAATGGTTTTGTTTCCCTGCAGTGGCTTTGTATGCAATCAGTGCAGTTTACTTTGCTGGAGTGATGGTCCGCCTGATGTTAACTTTAACTCCAGTGGTTTGTATGTTGTCAGCAATTGCTTTCTCAAATGTTTTTGAACACTATTTGGGTGATGATATGAAGAGAGAGAATCCACCAGTGGAAGATAGCAGTGATGAGGATGATAAAAGAAACCCAGGAAATCTTTATGATAAGGTCAGAGTTCTAGGTCTTCATGATAGCTTCATATTTTTAAAAGTTAACACATGTCAAAATTAATTGAGAAGAACAGAGGTAGTGTTTCCCAACCTTTACAGCCGACTGATCCATACTCCTTGTCCCCACAGCCACGTTTCAGTGTACCTTCGAACAACAATATCAGAAAAAAATAGCTGCATTCCTGAAAATGCTCAGTTGATTAGGATATATTTGAACTATCATTTTCTGTATTCTTACTTGGAAAACTGCTTTTGCTTAAGGTATCTCTGTCATTAGTATTGTGCTTCTGAATACTTAATCACTAAAAGATAGCTTTATACATCCCTGACAGATAAACTTTTCAATATCTGGGAAATAGTTTAGGGGACAGCATGAGAGGTTTGGTTTGAGAAAGAAAGTTGTACTTTCATTGTAAACAACTTATAAAGTAAAATTGGATGTAAGCTAAGAAATGAATTTTTCAAAAGTTATTTCTTTGTTTAGGCAGGTAAAGTGAGGAAACATATATCTGAACAGGAAAAAACTGAAGAAGGTCTTGGTCCGAATATCAAGAGCATTGTTACAATGTTAATGCTAATGCTGTTGATGATGTTTGCCGTCCATTGTACATGGGTTACTAGCAATGCCTACTCCAGTCCTAGTGTTGTTTTGGCATCTTACAATCATGATGGGTAAGACTATTTGGAATACTTGTTATTCTCAGTTTGTGACACAAAACTCTGATCAAAGCAGTACTACTTCCTTGCCTCTGCAGCTAACTTCTGTTACTGTTGCAGTACTCGAAACATTTTGGATGACTTCAGGGAAGCATACTATTGGCTAAGACAAAACACAGATGAACATGCCAGAGTAATGTCTTGGTGGGATTATGGCTATCAAATAGCAGGAATGGCAAATCGGACTACTCTAGTTGACAATAATACATGGAACAACAGCCACATAGCCTTGGTATGTAATGACTTTTTTGTATTGGGAATTTGGCAGGAAAATTTGACATTGATATTTAATTTTTTTAAATAATGCAAATCATGTCACTCTGCTTAAAATGAGCCTATTCTAATTGCGGTTTACTCTAACATTGTAATTAACAGAGTAAGCCTTCTGAATCATTGGAACTTAGAGGAGCAGACTCACTAAACCCCCAGTGATTCAATGGACTTGCTCTACTGCAGTTTATTATGTCAAGCAACAGGATTGTGGACACTGTTACTCTTGTTCAGTTTTAATGTACTGCTGAAAATTAACTCCCATTTTGTGTCTCATGGATTAATGTCAAGGTTAAGAATGAGAAACTTAGATGTTATGGTATCATTGTCAGATTTTGCTATCATTGGAATCAAACAAGTAAGGTTTCTAGTTTTTGTTCACTAGAATAGATAATACTGAGATGCAAATGAAATGTTGCAGAGAACATTTGGTTACATTTTTAACATCTTTTTTTCCTTTTTTTCTTCCTAGATTGATATTTTGTTCATATATTTGGAATGTATATAGTTTTGTGGCTACTCTGATAAGGACAAATTGACTTGTTTTAACATCAGGGTGTCAGTGTTATTTTCTTTTCCCAAAGTAGAATAGAGAATGGATGGTGTTGAAAATAGTTACCATTATGCCATGTACTTATTAAAGAGTATCTCTTTGGGTATCTGAATTGGCCTTCTGCATTTAGTTTAGCATACTTCTAAAGTTTTCTAGTTTAAATGTATTAAATGCTTGATGTGGAATAAAATCCTAAATATTGGTCATTAGGTTTTTTTAATGAGTTTTACATAGTTCTGCTGTTTTGTATTAAAATCCTCAGGCAAAACCTAATTCCCTATGAAATCTGCTTTGTAGCAAATGGATTGCAAGCAAAAGTAACAAGAAAAGCAAATCCAGATGCACGATTTAGGTTTAACATATTTTGCAGAAATTCTTAATCCTTTTATCAACAATTTAACACTGTTGCTGCATGTGCTGTAAGGTGTCTTTGTTCAAATACAGTTGTAAATGAAAGTATGACTGTTCCAGGTAAGAGTAGACTAGACTGAAATTTGTAGCTGCTCTCTCACATAAGATAATTTAAATATATTTTCAGATTTTTGTATTAACATAATGTTTTAAACGTATGTGTATATCTAGCAAAATTCAGAAGTGGAAGTTTTGAAGCAAAAATTATTTCTGGGGGTACTTCAAGATTTTATGTTTAAAGGGTGCAGTTATGTTTACAATACTGGAGCTTCTCAAGAATTAAAAACAAAACAAGTGAGACAGTAAAGCTTTACAGGAGGGCACCTTAGAATACAGATTGAAGGTTTGCATTCTGCATCCTTGGCTTTGTAACTGAAGTGGATGGTAATAGAAATTTCAAATTAATGGCTCTGCCATTTGCACACCCACCCATTGGCCTTACATTGTAGTCATTAGAGGGTCTCTTTTGAGACATAATGATATTCTGTTGTTAAGTCTCAACTGGACTAATGACTACCAAAATATTTCCACATTCTGAACATGACACATTCTAGGCTTGGAAGAATATGTAGGGTTCTTTTTTTATGTGCTGTCAAATCACAACTGGCTTATAGTGACCCTAATAGGACTTTCAGGGTAAGAGAGATATTTAAGGAATGGCTTTACCAGTTAGTTTCACACCCAGTTAAATTCCATGACTGAGCAGAGTTTCAAATCCAGACTTTCTGAGTCCTAGTCCATCACTTTACCTATTATACCACATTGGGTATCAAGGTTCACTTAGATGCTGCCATTTCTAATTAAAATTATTTAGATTTTATACTTACTCTGTATGTGATGAATAGCCTGTTTGGTTAGGGTGGGCTAATGTATCTTGAATGATTTACTATAAATCTGGGGTGTTGTTGTTGCTAACTGGAACAAATGAAGGCTTAAGAAAACTCCTTCTTGCAGGTAGGAAAAGCTATGTCATCAAATGAGACAGCAGCATATGAAATCATGAGAAGTCTAGATGTGGATTATGTATTAATAATTTTTGGAGGTGTAATTGGTTACTCTGGTGATGATATCAACAAATTCTTGTGGATGGTGAGAATAGCAGAAGGAGAACATCCTAAAGATATCAGAGTAAGTCAAAATGCATGTGTGTGCTTTTAAAAAAAGTTAATAGTCCATTATAAGATTTCTTTCTAAATATTTCTTCTAGGTGATACAGTCTGACAGTCTATCTCTAATTCTGCCATTGTTTCAATAAGAGAAATTGTCATAGGATGGCTTGATGCATAAAATCTATCAATAGATATTATCTATGGATTTTGAGCATGGCTATACTGATCTGCTATTATATGACAACCTAATAGTCCAAAGATTACATTAAGAACAAGTCAGATTAGCTCTTATGAGTAACATAAAAACCTACTGATTTACAGAGGAGAAGGGGCAACTACATTGATTGTTTACCTGCAATTTACATTGGATTGAGCACATATGGACTCAAATTAAAACCCAATGAGTACTTGACATAAAGCTCAACGTGGGGAAGCCCATTGTGGAATCATTTTTGGGGGTGGGGAATTGCCTTTAAAAAAAACTTGGCAATTGACACCAGACTCAGCCACTTTTATTCAGCAAAACCAGCATCAGCAGCCTACAACACAGCCCACATCTAATCTACTTTAATAGCTGTTTCCTATGTCCTGTAAGAAGCACCATTGTAGTCTCACATTTTATAATACTTTAAAAAATTACATGTATATTTTGAATTGACATAGTATCAGATAATGCAGTGCTAAAATAGAAACAGTTAAGGAGGAAAAGGAAGAGTACCCATTGTATTTGGTACCCAGAATTCAGCAAACCCTGCACACTGCTCCCCCAGACAGCATAGTCAATCACACATACAAAAACCAATTTTTTAAAAAGCGTGTTCAGAACCTATTTAAAATAAACAATCCTCATGTGAGTATTTTTAAAAAAACCACTTCCCAGTTGAAAAAAATGTGCACTTAGCTGTATGTCATGTAGTTGGAGATTTTTAATTTGATTTCCAGCATGCCAAACCTGACACAAAAACAGCACAGTTACTATGATGGTCAATTCGTTCTTTTGAGCTAGAAGCAGGTTGTAGAACTGTTGAGCGTTGCATTTTTAAGAAATTAATTTATGGTCCATTTTTCTAAATTATGGTGACTTGCACAACACTAATTTTATTCCATTTTTTTTCTTTAAGGAAAGTGATTATTTTACTCCACAGGGAGAATTTCGAGTTGATAAAGCAGGCTCTCCAACATTACTAAACTGCCTCATGTATAAAATGTCATATTACAGATTTGGGGAAATGCAGGTTAGTGAAATATGTGTCTGTTCTATGTTATAAGTGTTCTAATGAATACCTATTATTTCCTTTTCATGCATATGACTGACAGCGTCTTTCAGTCCTGATTCATTTATTGTATAAAATGAGAACATTTTCATTAAAAAATTACGGATTCCTTAGCATAAAATTGTACTACTTAGCACTTTGTGTATTTATTTCATACTAAACCAGTCAGGAAAAGGGTAAGGGAGGAAATATGGTGCATCTGCTAGGTGTCTGTGTGCTTCTGCTAATATAAATAACCCTTCTGTATGACAATGAAGAACCATGCAGGTCCACAAAAACACATTCAGTCTCCTAACCTTGGTGAAAAGATCAGGCAGGCGTTAACATCTGCCCAGAGCTTATGTTATAAATAACTATCCAGAGCTGGCTGATAATTGGCTTGTATTGAAAAGTCCTTCACACACTAAATAAAGGGCAGGCAAAAGGAAGGAATTCAAGATCTGCTATTGACAAGATATAGAGGTGGTTGTTGTTAATATTTACTAAAAGAGTTGTAAGTCTCACAGTATATACATTTACTGTGTAACACATGGAACAAGCTGGTATAAGATGACTATTGACTCACTCATGATTTTTGATTGTACATTGTGGAGGAGCTTCTTGGGATATTTGTCAAAAAGAGGCAGCGTATATGTTGTAAGAATAGTTGAAGCTGCTAGTTGATATCATTTGGAGACTTTTACTTAGATCTTTGTTGTGGTCTCTAAGCATTCATGCATTCACCTGTGCAAATCCATCCCTTTAAAACCTTCATACTCACATACACATAGTAATGTGCAAATGCTGGGATTCAGTCCCTCAGTGCTACATATTTGAATGAAAGAAACACCAACAGGAAGCAGTTAAGTACAAGTGCCTAAGGGAGCAAAGGCATCTGCATCTCCAGTTGATCAGGCTTACGTTTCTTTTTTAAATAGTTCCTGAAACTCAAAAGTTTCTTGTAGAGTTCAGCATGGGTTTTCTTCTATACCACAACTGCTACAGTCTTGGAGCCTCTCTTTAATGCAAATCATTAATCCTTTCAAACTCCCAGCCACTGCTTCATTGGAAATGCTCGAAACAAAAGCCTTGTTAGTGGCTGTTACACCCCATCAAGCAGGTGAATGTTGTGCCATATGAGCAGACTTACTTTCTCCTCCTCTGGCTTCCAGAGTATGAATTCCCTTTGGAAATATATAGAGTTTTCAAAACTGCAGTATATTTTTCAAATGTTCTTGGAAGTGGATTTAGTTCTATTTGTAGGGTTATATTACATATCTTCAGACTAATGTGTAGCATTAATTTTTTGTAGCTGGACTTTCGGACACCCCCAGGATTTGATCGCACCCGCAATGCAGAGATTGGCAACAAGGACATTAAGTTCAAACATTTGGAAGAAGCCTTCACATCAGAGCACTGGCTTGTTAGGATATATAAAGTGAAACAACTAGACAACAGAGAGGCACTGGATCATAAGCCTAGACTAACCAACATTTTACCAAAACAGAAGTATTTGTCAAAAAAGGTGGGTTCTCAGTGAAACTATGTCAGAGAAGATTGATAGTGTTGCACAAATTTAAAGCAGTATGGGTTGTTCTTGCTGTTCCCTAAATACAGAGATGCTGGATGGTCACAAGGGCTAATTAATAACCTGATTAATTGAGCATGTGAACATCTACTTTGCTAACTGAGAAGATAACTCGTAAAAATCTCAGCTAAATGTAACAAAATGTGCTATAGAAAATATATCACTAGTGTTTCAGTAGCTGTGACAGGTCACTTAGACATGAAAAGTATCTTTCTGGAACCTCCCTAGATTTCTGAATGAATTTTTTGTAAAGTTATTAAACCTGAAGTTTTTGTTCACAGCTTGAGTATCTGCCTTCTTTTGAAATATTTCACTAAAACACAACATCCATTTTATTCACTACTTCTGTGCAGTGTCTTACTCTATTAAAGTATAGTGTATTCAAGCATGGAACTAAAATCCTTTTAAAAAAGGAACCTCCCCTCCCCCATTGTTACTTGATTCCAAATAAAATGAATAATTTACTTTAAAATTTCTGAAACTTTATTAGAAGATAGTGTGTTTTGCAAGGGCAAAGAACAATAATAAAATTGATATGTTTAGGGAAGGTCAGAGAGGATTGTACAGATGTTAGTGTTGAGTGCATATAGTGGTGTTCTAAGTTGACCTATAAATTTGTAACTTGTTTGGTAATTTGGCACTAAAAGTCAATTAAAAGTATTTTGGCTGGGTGGAAACATTACGTTCTCCTATCATTTTTTGGCCTACACTTTAACGGGCCTGTGTAAAGTGATAATTGTTTTAGTGCAAGACCCATTGCACATATGGCCACCGGTATCATGTTCTATGGATCTGTCAACAAAGCAAGAGTGGTGTGACTGACAGCAAGAGACTGCTGTTTATTAAGGAGTTCCTCCATTGATTTAGGGGTGTATCTGACTTCATCTGATTGTATACGAGTTGTATGGAACTTGAAATCAAAGAAGGAACTCTTTAATTAGCAGCCATCTCCTGCTGCCATTGACATCATTCCACTGCACCAGCAGAATTGCGGAATAGGATACTGGCCAGTAAGTGCAACATTGTATCAATAGTTTTTGTTTACCTAAATGGTGGTGTAACCAATTACACAGCAGTGTGATGCAGTTGTGCTAATGAGGATTTTCACTTCGCTAGCATTATGTTGGATCTAGGCCATGGTAATTCCTTGGCTTCTATATCTATTAAAGCTGAAAATGTCTTCTGCATTTACTTCTGCTTATCCCTGGAATCTATCTGGTGCTTTCTTCATCAGCCTGTTATGAAGATATACAAAAACATCTACTTGAAAATGTTTGTGCTGCTGGTTTGCCTGGCCAAGGAAGATGTATGTTATCATACTCATATCCTACAGTAGTGGCAGAAACATTATATTGAGGTCTAAAGGCATAGGATTGAAAGTTTTAAAAGTATGGGCCAAAATCCTGTTGATATTTGTTTGAGATTTGCATAACTTTCCATAGTAAATTGCTGAGGTGCCAGAGCACATCTGCCTGTTTATGTGACCAGTTGTGTAACTGAGATGCATCCCAGCATTTCATCAGTTAACTAAAATTAGATTAGCAAGTTATGCATCTCATATGTGAACATAGATAAAATGCTAACTAGTAGATCTAGAATTTGATGTAGTTGGCAAGACCATGCAAATCAGTGGGTCTTAAGTCATCCGGATTGAAGTCCTTTTACTCTGAGTGCATCTGGGTCCAACCCAGAGTACATACTGCATGCAAACAAGATTTGTAGTAGTTATAGACTAGCAGAGTAGATGGGCCTGAGGGTGGCTAGGACTTCCATGGAGCACACCAGGCTCAGAAATGTAAAAAAAAAGGGGGGGCAGGGAACAACCCAGAAGTGCTCCAACATCCAGTCTCTCTCTCTCTCTCTCTCTCTCTCTCTTTGTGTGTGTGTGTGTGTATGTAAGTAATCATTGGCTTTGAGTCAATAGATTATTAGGAATTTATTCAGGATTCAGTGCTGCAAAGTTTTGCTTGAACCTTCTGTATGTTTTAGTTCATCTTTTCACGAAATGATCTTTTTTAGGCGTTGAATTTCTTAAGATGGACAAACTATTTATTTATTAGATTTCTATCCCTTTTAGACAAAGTCAAACCACATATCCTTGATTTTAGAGGTGGGAGGAGTGGGCCCAACAGAAAGAACCTTATGTCCACATTTTACCACTCTAATACAAAGCATGATAGCTGCAGCTGAATCCAGCTACAAGTTCATTATTACAGTGGTGCCCCGCTTGACGACGATAATCCGTTCCAGCAAAATCGCTGTAAAGCGAAATCATCATCAAGTGGGAAAAAAATCCCCATTGGAATGCATTGAAAACTGGTCAATGCGTTCCAATGGGGGAAATAACCTCATCGTCCAGCAAAGATTGTCCATAGAGAACCGCCGGTCAGCTGTTCTAATTCACTGTAATGCAAAACCTCCGTCTGGAAAGCAGCCATTTTGAGAAGGGAGGGAAGCCATTTTGCGGAGCCGGAAAAAACATTGTTCTTCATCGTGGTCTTCTGTGAATGCACACAAAAAGGGTTAAGTCAGCGCCAGCGTTGGTTCCTTCGGAATGTTCTCGAGCTCTGCAGAAAAGAAACATAGTTTATGATTGCCTACACTGCGCATGCTCTGCCCGCCCAAGCCTCAGTTCCATTTCTCCGCCTTGCAGAGTAGTTCCTTGCTTCTTAGCTCTGCTAAATTCGCTTTTACTGCTATCCGTTTTTATGGTTTTTTCCTACTTGGCATGTTTTTGGACTTCTCTACTGCTTATAGGACTTTGTATTGACGATTTGGTTTGCTCCCGGGACTCTAGCTGTGAGTTTTCCTGTTCCTGCCTTTTTTACCGGCCATTCCCAGTCCTCTTGCCTTGCCTATGCCCCCCACCCTCTGGCCCCTTTAGCCGGTATGTCGTTTGCTCTGCCAAGATCCCGTATCACGACGGGCACAACACTTGTCTTTTTTGCCTGGGGGAGTCACACTCTCCTCAGCGTTGCAGACATTGCAAAGCATTTATCAAAGCTGCTTTGAAAGTGCAGCAGCAGAGGCTCAAGCTACACTTGTGGGACTCTGCCCTATCAGCTATGGAGCTCCCGTCTCCAGCGGTCACCACTCGTGCTGAGGGTAGCCCCCAACAGTTACCTGGGATTGCTCTTTCCGAAGTCTCTGCTGCTAAACCGCCCAAGAAAGCCACAGTTAAGAAAGTGTCTTCTTCCAAAGCCGCTTCGGCTCGCAAGCCTGCCAAGCAAGCAAAGACAAAACAGCCAGTTAAAAATAAGTTTTCCACCCAGCACCTTCCTTCCATCTCTTCCACTCTTTATTCACCGATTTTGGAAGATACTAGGGACAAAGACTCCATGTCGGAGGCAGCCCCTTCGCTCCCTCTGAGACAGCCTGAGCCAATTGTACCCCTTGGCGCTCCCTCCCCAAAGCCAAGCCAGCTTGGCCAGGTTACTGCAAGCTTGGGTTCAGCCCCTCTTAGCCCTGTGTCCACCGGGCGGGCGTCTCTGGCTCCTTCGGTTTCTCCAGTTCCCTCCCATCCGAGCCCTCCTCCTCCTAAAAAAGCGCAAAAGAGAAAACATCTTTCGGGCAATTGACATCGATCAAAGGAACGTAAGGAGAAACGTTGCTCTCGACGTCGACACAAGTCTTCCTCTGATGACTCCACTACATCGGGGTCGAGGCATAGAAGGCATAGACGTCATCGCAGAAGAGACTACTCTTCTTTTCCTTCAACGTCGTCAGATCGCCATCAATGTTGTAGGCATGTTAACTACATCTATGTGTCTTCTTCCTCCACATCGACCCCCCCCTCGGAAGCATCGACGTCTACACAAGGAGCAAGTTGGGAAGCCCTCTTAACCAGCCACGCTTGCAGCTAAACTGGCGGGTCCTCCCACTATTGCTGTCTCGATGGCTACTCTGTTGCCACCTGAACAACAGATTGCTACTGCGGCACTCGACGTTGACCCTCGACGTCAAAACAGTGGCCATGAGTTTTCATCTGATGATGAGGTGCCATTCTCCTCCCAGGCTTCTGACTTTGATCGTAATCTCCCTCAACAGCCAAAGGGTGATGAGCTACCTGTGGGGGAAATGGTTGAATCCGACACTGGTGATCCGCATGACTCCTCTCCTTCCGAGGATTTTTCTTCTTATTCCCAAATGTTGTCAAAGTTAGCAAAGACTCTTAAGTTGCATGTAGATGAGCCTGCACCCCCAGAGGAGGATCTTATCTTTGGGGATACAGTGGGGTCTCGACTTAAGAACTTAATCCGTATAGGAAGGTGGTTCTCAAGTCGAAAAGTTCTTAAGTCGAATCTGCATTTCCCATAGGAATGCATCGAAAACCATTTATCTGTATCTGCTCTTTTCTGTCCATAGAAACTAATGGGAAGCTGCTATTCTGCCTTCTGCCACTAGAGGGGGATATTTTCTTTCTTTTTCCCCCTTAGGTTCAGGGAAGGCAGGGAACACTAAAGGCAGCACTTTAGAACTCTTTTTTTAAAAAAGCGAAGCCAATTTTAAATAATGTTTTAAAGCATGTTGTGCTGATTTTTTCAGCACAAATGCACTCAGGCAGGCTTTTTAGGTGCTGAGCAAGCCTCCGGAAGCCTGCTCAGAGCCAGCCGATCAGCTGTTAGGCGGGGAGAGGAGCGGGGAAAACCACAAAATGGCTGCCAGGCTCTTTCTGGGTGTCGGCTTTTAGCTCTTTCCTGCTCTTTTTCCTGTGGTTTGGGGGCTACCAAGGCCTGGTAAGTGACTTTATTTAACAGTACAGTATTTATTTTTAAGTTTCTGACCCTTTCCCCCCCTCCAGAAGCCTCTAAGGGGAGGGAGGGGGGACTTTTTTCCCTGTTCGTAACTCGAGGGAAGTTCGCATGTCGAGTCCTTACTTTCCCTATAGGGCAGGTTCGTAACTCGAATTGTTCGCAAGTCAGGTCGTTCGTAAGTCG